TCATCAAAATAAGGAAAGTTGCTTTCCCATGAAATCATTGATCTTGTTCATAGCTTTTATCAAAGTGATGAGTACACACGAATGATGCCTGGAAAAAAAGATTTTGTCAGTATAGGGTACAGGCAACACATGCAAAAAAGGCTGATAACACTCTAATTTAAATGTTGGATTTTCAAAGTTTTGCAGCCTTTGCTCAAGATGGTGTGTAACCGCAAACTTGTCTGGCACTCACAGTGTTTGTTAACTGATGCCCTTAAAATCAACAAAAGAGATTTAATGGAAATAATTGTTTGCAATAGGGATAATGCAGAGTGCACGTTCAATCAAAAAATCAATATTGAAGGTGTTGTTGACCTTATATGCAATAAAATAGATAAACTAACATCTCATTCAATTATAGCTAAATATCAGGCCAAGTACCTTAAAAATGTTAAAAATAATTAAATCACAATGAGTGTATAATTTTGGGTAACTATGTTATATAATTGGGTAACTATGCAAAGAACTTTCAGTTTATTGTTCAGGATGAGGTGCAAAGTTACCACTGGAATAAACCAAAATGTACACTTCATCCTATTGTTATATACTATAAATCAAAAACAAAAAAGACTCATTGATGCTAAATGTTTTTTTTTCTGCTACAAGCCATGGTAAATCTGCTTGTGATGGCATTGAGGGCTCAGCAAAAAGACAAACTGCAGAATCCAGCTTAAAAAGGACTGACTGAACAGATTTTAGATGTAGATAAGATGTTTGAATTTTGTGAAACAAATAACATTCAATTCATTTTGGTTTATAAAAAAGAAATAAATGAAGAAATTAATGGTCATCATTTCAACCAAGGTTTACTATAGCAAGAACCTTTGCCAGGAACAAGATGCTTCCATTTTATATCAATTAATAAATGTAGAATTTTTTTAAAAGGATGAGTTAACAAACTGATGTTCAGACATTTAACCTTGTGCGGATACCAAATGAGCTGGTTGTGCAGCATGTTATTTATAATCATATGAATTATGTAGCTTGCAAGTATAACAACTTTTTGTGGATTGGAATTATAAACAAAAAAGATAAAAGAAGATGAGATTATAAAATTCAATTTATGCATTCCCTTGTTCCCAGCCCCAGTTTTTCTTGACCCGCACAGGAAGATATGTGTTGGCTCCCATCAAATCATGTTTTATGTACCATTAATCTGCCATCTACAACAAATGGTTACATATATAAAATTTCAGAAACTAAGTTAGAAAAAATTATTGAAAAAAATAATAAAGATTAATTGAAAAAATTTCTAACACATTTTTTATATTTGTTTTTTATTTTTTCAAATATTTCAAATATATTCAAAGATATAACTTTTTGGGAGTATGTATAATTGTATGTGTAATTGACACAAATTAGCTACTCAAAAAAATTTATCTGGTCACTTGTCTTAATATTTTTAACAAACAAAAACAAAACAAAAAAGGAAGGGTGGGGGATTGGTAGTAAAATGCTTAGTTCTTCCCCCCCCCCCCCCCTTCCTTCTCTGCTTTAGACAATGAGCCCTCCCCATGTACAAAAAATAAAAAATAAAAATAAATCATAAGTTTACTATTGCCTTCAAAAAGACTTTTTACAATAACTTTTAACAATAACTTTTTACAATATAAAATTAAAATATAGCTAATTTTGTCATAAATAAGTAAGCAATATATATATATATATATATATATATATATATATATATATATATATATATATATATATATATATATATATATAATATATATATATATATATATATATATATATATATATATATATATATATATATATATATATATTTATTTATTTATAAATTTTCAATTCGAAATTTGTATCTGCCATGTGGAAGAGTTTTATGTACAACTTTTCAGGATGATACCTAATATGGTTTTTAAAATACTATTTAAAAACAAAAAAGAATTTTTAAAAAAATGCTGAGTCAGCATAAATAAGAATATTGAATCCTGAATATCTCAGGAACCGTTAGGAGTTGGAGGTTCCAAATTTCAGATTTTCCTAATTTTCAAATACCCTAAAACATAAAAAAATTAGCAAAATCCAAAACATGGGGTGACATTATTTTTTTTTTTGCTGATTTGACATGGAATTACCTGTATATCTACTTTGCAATCATGAATATAAAGTTTGCACGCTAAACTTATATGTATATCATACCTAAAGATATTTAGGATTTTCCATCCACAAATAAAAAATAAGATTTTGCATAATAAGCATAAATTAGCATAATAACTATATGCATAGGGTAAAAACTAAAGCTAATTTAAGTTAAAAAAGTTTTTATTATTAAGCATTCCCATATTACCTGTAAACAGGTCTTTTATTTCTGACACTAAAATATGTGTTGTCTAGTAGTTCTAAACATGGATTAATGAAAATTTGTTATAGAATTTTTTATTTTGTATTAGTTTTGCTTTATGCAAGAATGGAATAAATAATTTTTTTTGTTCTGAAGGGACAAAAAATTTGCCCACATGTGGCAAACTTTAAACTGTTGCAAACCTCAAACTTTAAGCTTTAAAAAAAAAAGATCTAAAAAACGCTTTTAAGTATATGTGCCAAATTCATATAATGCCTCCCTAAAATGATTTATTGAGCACACAGTTCATATATCTCCCTAAATTGATTTAACTGCTCAATTGACAAGATGTGTAATCATTCATGTATTTATGTTAAATTATCATGATTTTGGTCGTAATATTTTTGAATATTTTTTGATTAAAAAAATAGGTGAATGTTTGTACAACAACAACAATATATTAACAAATGAAAGTTGGATATCATCTACTGAATCTTCCTTTAAGTTTTTTGAAGCATTATTTATTAAAATCTTTTTTATCTGAAGCTAATTTCTCGCTTTTCAGCAAGGTTCCTTTTGTAATTGACCAATAACTTTTATTACCTCTCTGCTCAGAACAATTTAAAAGATTTGCTACAAATTTGGCGTCATTTTGTTCATATCATTCTGGAGATTTCTTGAAGTGGTGGTTTGTAGCCAATTCACGCCAAAATATTGTAGGCATATCTTTGTAATTATTTGAGGCATATCATATAATTATTTACCTTTTGACTGATAAAAATGTTGCTGGCTTTTTTGCAATAGATTTCATTGTCTTCAATTATGCCCAAGTTTTATTGGTTTGAAAGTTGGTATAGCTTTTTTGAATGGCAAATTGCTTTAATTTCATCATCAATTGATCGCATTAGAGTTTTCTTTTTATAATATGCTTTATATTCTTACGATCTAAGTGTTTTTTCTTATAAAAGCTTGGCTGCATTTAAATTTTCTTCAAAGATCTCTTGGTGGCTTACATGGATTTGTATTTATGGAGCAAATAGATTTATACTTATCTAGTTAGTTTATACTTATCCTTAAATCTTTTTTTTTTTTTTTTCACTTCCAGCTTCACTTTCATATGGGTTCTGTGTATATCGCCACAAAATAAATCCAACTGATAATTGAGAAACAACAGTCAATTTTGAACTTGTAAAAATTGATTTAATATTTGTTTACTTATTCTAATCTGATAAAAATGATAATCAATCAAATTATCATATTAACCAATATTTATTACCATTACAATCGAACAACAACATATTAGCTTCCACATACAAAAAAAAACATTTTAAAATTTATTGGGTAGTTTTTGAGTAATTAATAATTAAAGGGTGCTGAATTTCATTGTGTTCAACCAATAAACTGATATGGATCCAGTTTTTTAGTCAGTTTTATTTTTTTTAAACTTTTTTAATTTAAAAACAAAAGTCTAGATCAAGCATTGGTTTTTTAATATTATGTTTTTGAAAATGTAATATGCAGTTAAATGTACACATAGATGTTATTAAAATTGTTTTCATGAAAGAAGTTAAGGATAGTATTTAATATAACTGAAGTAAAAGTTTTTTTTAAAATAACTTTGCATTACAGGCTTTCACAGGAGGATGTGCGATTTCGCGTCTTATGACCACACAAAAAATAATGTTTTAACAATTTGACCACGGCATATTTTTAAAATTTAAAAACGCGCTACAAAAACTTACCTAAACTTATCTGAAAAAAAAATTTTTTTTAAATAATAAATTTTAAACAAAAGAGGAAATAAAAAAAAATGCTTAGTTAAAGCAAAAATACAAAAAAATAAGTATATATATATATATAACGCAACTAAAACAAAACTCATCAAACTAAAATGCTTAGTCTATTTAATTTACGCATTAAAAAACCATTTTAATTTTTGTTTCAACATTTTTATATATTTTTTATTTATTTAATGTTCAAAAGTTAAATATTTCTCATAAAAAATACATAGTTATATAAATAAAATAAAAAAACATTTTATTAATACTTTTTTTTAAATTAATTAGAATTGTTTTTTTTTTTACTTCATTAAAAGCGTTTCGATAATATAAAAGCATTTAAGATCGAATTTATTAAATTGTAACGGTTTTCTAAAACTTTTTTTTTAACGAAATTTTGTTTATCTTTTTAAATGCATTAACTTTAATCATTCTTATTCGTTAAAAAGACTTTCATAGTCGTAGAATGTCATCATTTATAAAAACAAAACAATTTTTTATTTTTTAACAAGGTTTATTTTAGAAATGAACACTTGAACAATTTATGTTTTAAATTAAAAAAATATATACAACTGTCAATTATATTTAAAAAACAAAACTTTTTTTCAGTAAATTGTTACTTTATTTAAAATCGTTTTGCTAATATCAAAATTTTTATTTTAGTGCGTTTCTAAAATGTTTTTTGAATTAGCCGCGGTCAAACCGTCATAGCAAAATGTAACTTGCGTGGTCATATAAAAATGTGAAATCGCATGTCTTCCTGTGAAAGCCTGCATTAGGAGATTGTAACTTAAATAATTTCTTACATTTCGTTACTTTAGTAGATAACTATTTTTATTGTGTATATAATGATAACTAATAATTGTTTTTATTTAAAGGTTTTTGAAAAACAAATATCGAAACTGGAGGTATGAAAAACTTACTTCATATACAGCAACTGATGAACCTCAATGGGTTACTGATTTTGAAGGCGAAATGCAGACTAAGTTCTCTTTGTTTTGGCAATACTTAGAAATAGGTAATTTAAAGTTATTTTAATGTAAAAACAGTGGTGAAAATCTAAATTTCATTAAATTTTCAATATTAAAAAAAAAAAATGTTATATCTGTACACAAAACCTTTTCGTACTTGGCCTTGCATAAAACATCATTAATGGCATTATACTGAAACAGCTATCTACAAAGCTATTTCAGTATGATGTCATCCACTGAAGTTTTGGGTTTGAACAGGTTCTATCTAGATATAAAAGACTTTTACTCAACAAAAAAAATTATACATACATGTCTATGTATGTAACATTAAATCTTAGCTTTGTGTATGTCATTTGTGATCTCATTTATAAACTATGGATTAACCTAAAAACACTTAACTGATTCTAAACTTTTTTAAAAGACTATATATATATATATATATATATATATATATATATATATATATATATATCAGGCCTTGTTACGAGATTTCACTGCGTAACGGAAAAGCGAAACGTGAATAAATGTAACTTTAATCAATAAAGATATTTATATAGTTAAAAGTTAAATTACGTCAGTTGCATTTTTACTTCGTCGTGATTAAATTTAAAATGAAATTAAAAACTATTGTTAGTCTTTGAAACGAAATAGCTTTAAATTGAACAATGTTGTTATAAAAAAAAAAAAATTAATGTTGATTAAAAAAAAGTCTTCTTGTATTAAAATCTTATACTTATTTAAACTCAATTTTTTTTCTTTAAAACATTCGTTTGGTTGTTTTTTGAAAAAAAAAATTTTTTTAAATAATTTAAATTTAAAACTTGTTTAAGGTTGATTTTCTTAAAGGAATTTAAATGTACTTATAACTAAACGCATAGATTGGGTTTTCCCCCTTTAAAAAAACGTTTGCACTAACTGGTTTTTATAAAATAAATATTGTAAAGAATCGAAATTTACTGCTTTTTCGGCTTTATATTTTTTTATTTCAATTAAAATATTTTATTTTTATGTACAGTGAAACCTAATATTTTTTTACTCAATCCAAAAAAAAAAAAGTGTTTTCGGTTTTAAGATGTTATAAGCAGAATTTGTTTTTAACATATATCATTATAATTTTGAAATTTATGTATCTTATATTTACAGCTCTTGTACTAGTTTTGTTTTTAAAATTTTAAAGTTGGGCTTTTAAAGAGTTTATTTACTGATCGCGTTATTTTTAATAGGTTTGAACTTTGGTTTGTTTTATAAAAAATATTTTTCGGAAAACGGCAAAGGGAAAACCTAAACATAACATTTATAACTCGAGTTTAAAAGTATTGACGTCATTTATTAACTTGTAGTTATAAAATGAATAATGCGCTTCTGTAAATAACGAATAAAAGTGTAAAATAATGGAAAAATAAAAACTGGAAAATAATGCGCTTTTGTTAAGCGCATTATTCAGACCAGTATTTGAAACTTACCTGAAACTTAACTGAAATTAAAATAAAGTTTTATGTAATATGAACTTTTTAAAGTAACTTGAATTAAATTTTTTAAATCTTTTTTTACTTTAGAAATTTTATCATAAAAAAACGGAGCATTTTAAAACTAAAAAATTTTATAATGCTCTGTTTTAAAATTAAATGAAAGAATTTTAATTAAATTTAATAAATTTATTTACTAAAAACTATAATTAATAAAAAAATATTTAAATTTAATAAAATAAATTTAAAATATTTCTTTTTTTAAATTTGAATGGTTTTAAACTTATGAAATATAAAACTTAAATATGATAAAAAGTTTAAACTTAAAACACTTATTTCTTTTAACCCTCTAGTTCCCAAAACGGCCTCAAGGTGGGTATTATAAAAATCCATGTAAAAATTACATTGCTAGAAATTTTAGCGTAATGCTCGTGTCCGCCTATAGACAATAGCATACAAACTAAGTTATGTGCGCCGGCGCACCCGCAAAGCACGTGGTTTTGTTTGTATAATCCGTGCAGTGTTATTTCGCAGCGATTACTACGATTAGTTTTGTGTCAGTGATTGGAAAATTGTTAAAAAATATTTGTAGTGCCCCTAATTGAATAAAAATATTATTGGTAAGTTTGTACTTTATTTAGCATTGCAACAAAATATATTTAAATGAATAATTGCTCATACAAATATTATACTTGCCCTATTCATGATACCCGTCTCCAGGCGGACTTGGGCAGCAAGTTATTTTTTTTTGATATAACTTGTAATTGAGAAACATTTTTTATACATTGCTAAATATTTCATTTCAGAGATGGAACGACATAAATTTTACAATCCCGAGTTGATGTCACAGGACGATGTTTTTAATTTACTAGATTCAATAGATGCAGGTGAATTAGATACTGATATTGAAGATAATTTCCTTTCGGATGATGACCCCAATTTTGTTCCTAACGCTCATCATTTCAATATGGAAAATATCTTGGATAATGACGTCGATGAAACGAATGAAATACTAACCGCAATGGACGAAACCAATATTGAGCCTGGTACCTCAAATTCCGAAATACAACTTGTTGAATCTGAAGAAATTGAAATAGGACCATCTCAATCCAAAAAACCTCAGTTAGAGCAAGTTGAAAATGATAATTTTGTGAACACTTTTATTGGATCCTCTACCGAGATCCAAAAAATATAGCTTTCAAAAATATTTTGTGGCGCAAGAAAAATATTCAGCTAGAGAAAAAACAAACACAATTCAGAGGAAATGAAGAATTACCGGCGCATTTTTATGAATTGAAAACTCCTTATGAATGTTTTAAATATTTCTTGGAAGATAAATTATATCAGGAAATTGCAAATACAACTAATCTTTATGCTTGCCAAATGAATATTTCAACAAATTTTGTAACTACGCCGGCAGAAATACAAAAATATGTTGGAATTTTGTTTTATATGTCCATATACAGATACCCAAATACTCGAGAATATTGGGGAGAAAATTTGTTTGAACCAGTTCGGAAAACTATGACCAAAAATCGATTTGAAGAAATACGTCGTTATTTGCATTTCAACGACAATACCAAAATGCCGGCACAAGGGGATTCCAATTTTGATCTGATATTCAAGATGCGGCCAATTATTGAATACTTCAATATACGTTTTCAGTCGGTACAAATGTCTCAATGCCTGTGTGTAGGCGAACAGATGTGTTCCACAAAAATGGTTTTGCATATTCGGCAATACATAAATGCATGCCCGCAAAACCACATAAATGGGGCATGAAACTCTTCGTGTTGTGCGACACCTATGGGTTTTCATACGGATTTGAGTTATATTCTGGAGCAAGTGACAATAAAATTCCAAATGGAGCACCGGATTTAGGTGCAGCAGCCAATGTGGTTTCAAGATTATCGCAAATAATCCCTGATCACATGAATCACATTGTATATTTTGATAATTATTATTCGACTTTGCCATTGATGATATATCTGTATAGCAGAGGAATATATTCTTTGGGAACCGTTCGGACAAATTGAATTGCAAATTGCAAATTGCCAACAGATAAAGAAGTTGCGAAGAAACCTCGAGGATTTTTAACTGAATATGTAGGGTCTTGTTATGGAGTAGACTTGTCGACTACACTGTGGAAAGACAACAAAGGTGTTTTGGTCTTTCCACAGTGTAGTTTGGCCTTAACATACGTAAGAGTATTACCATTTAAAAATGAAAGTAATAACACCCTAAAGGCATCAAGATATGATCGTGCCCAAAAGAAGAGAATAGAAATTGATTGCCCAAATATTATCCACGAATACAATGCACACATGGGTGGTGTCGACCTAATGGACGGTCTTTTGGGTCGATATCATAATCGCATGAAAACAGTAAAGTGGACTAGTCGTTTCTTTTATCATGTGTTGGACTTAAATAAAGCATGCAATATACAACTCCCACAATTTAGAAAAGAAGTGGCTGCAATGCTTTGCAGATTTCAAACAGATGAACCGCAAAAGAGATCGTTGGAAGACCGCGATCAACAAATGCAGAAGAAGATCCCGCCCCTAAACGACTGGGCAAGAGGACATATTTACCAGCTGCAGACATCAGATTTGATGGCAAAGAACACTTTCCTTAGTGGCTGGACAGATCCGGAAAGCGCCAATGTAAATTGCCTGGGTGCAAATCAGAAACGCAATGCACTTGCTCTAAATGTAATATAAATTTATGTTGCACTGCAGCGAAAAATTGTTTTGCAATATTTCATAAACAATGATATAAAATTTTTTGTAATTATTCAATAATAAATAATAAAAAAGAAAATATTTATAATTATTTGATCCATCATAAAACTGAACTTTTAGTATTAACTTCCCAGGTCCGCCTCAAGGCGGAGATCATATAATCGGGACTCGAGGTCATATTTTTTACTTTAGAAAAAAATTAGCTTGAAATTGAGTTTTAATAGCCTCAATTTAGCCTAGCATAATTTTTTGGTGAAGAAAAAAAATTGGGGCACTAGAGGGTTAAACTAATTTTTAACAACAACAACAATAAAAATAATTAAACAAATTTTTCTTTAACAAAAAATCTATTAGTTTACAATTGCGGTTAAATGCTTTTACTTCGACTTTATTTTCTTCCGAATAAACATCACATAAACGATATCAAATGATAATTTAAATATTCTAAAAGATTAAAGTTTTTGCGTAAAACAAAACTGCTGAACGCGTAGGCAAATCGCCTTTTCGCAGGTAAAATGCGAGCGGCGTAACGATTCTTAACAAGGCCTGATATATATATATATATATATATATATATATATATATATATATATATATATACATATACACAAATATATATATATATAATATATATATATATATATATATATATATATATATATATATATATATATATATATATATATATATTTATATATATATAAATATATGTATATATACTATAGCGCATATAAATATACATTTTCTGCCTTTTGCTTACTTTTTTTCTAAACCCTGTCTAGATGTATGTACTGGTAACAATGTGTTTTGTAATTGTATTATGGCGATGAAAGTCTCATATTAATTAAACGAATAGGATCAAGGTAGGATAAGCTTTGCTTCAGAGTTTAAAATAACACACATGGCCATGGAGTTTACAACTTTTGAACAACCTCTCATCAATCCTTCAACTTTCTAAAACATTTATGTATTTTTTAGTGTAGGCTGCATGTTAATTTATCCTAATGATATTTTACAACGCATGATTATTTACATGAAAAACAATTGTTAATTTACAACTCACATTTATTTTATAAAATGTAATGTCAGTTTACAAAATGTTACTATTTTTATAAAACATTATGTCAGTTTGCAATGTCAGTTTTCAATGAACAATTTTTTACATAAATCATACTATATTAGATCACATGGTACTTTATATAAAACATGATATCGATTTAGAACACACAATTGTTTTCATAAAATATACTAATTTAGAACATAAATATTTAGATTTAATGAATATACTTAAAAACTCAATGTTGTTTAATCTTTGTCCATCTTTTTCTATTGTTTGAGTCAAGAGTTGGTTGTTTTCCTTGTGAAGTAAGTTAACAATTGTAAAAATTTACCACACCCTGCACACATTTGTCATCACATTGTTAAACAAACTATGTTTTCGATATGCTTTTTTTCATCATTAATGTGATAATTAATTATTTTTTTTTTATTAATATTTTATGCTAAAGGCTTTTCTCATTTTATATAGTTCTTCAGTTTGGCTTTGTTACAATGTTTGTGGCTGCGTTCCCATTGGCTCCATTGGTAGCTCTTTTGAACAATATTATTGAAATAAGATTGGATGCTGTTAATTTTATACATAATTTCCGACGAACACATCCAAGTCCAGCAGAAGATATTGGTGCATGGTATGGAATCTTGGCTACTTTAACAATGGTAATGTTTTATTTAAAGTTGTATTGAAAATTTTATATTTTTGTATTGTTGTATTTAACACCAAACTGCTTAAATGATTTAAAAGTATCCACTAACAAAACTGCTTACTACTAAGTATCATCTTATAAAACTGTTAGCAAGATTTAATACCAGTGATATCAAATTTCAGGCTAAATAATATTCGTTTTATTAAATTAGATTTCTTTTCAGGATTTTATTTGCTTATTGTTTTTATAAATTATTTGTTATAAATGTTTGAACAACGAGCAAAACTGGTTGGTTTTATTTTGTCTATTTTGTGTTTGTTTTCTTTACATGCTTGTTTCCATGCTTGCATGAATTGGACATTACTCATAAATTATTTTCTTTCTTTAACTGAAGCTTTTTTATGTAATCTCTTCAAGATTTGAAAGAAAAGTCTTTTCTTTCAAACATTGATGTTTCTTTTTAAACATTGATGTTTCTTTTTAAAAATTTGAGAAACCGATAAAAGTTTTGCCAATTTTATTTTAATTATTTATTATACAATTTTAATAAAAGGTTCATATTTTGAATTTAAATGTAACATTCGTTTTGCTGTTTTATTTTTATTATTTTATAAGGAATTTTTTTTTTTTTTTTAATAATATTTAATTAAATCATTTATTTTTTCTTTTTTCTTTTAGTATTTTTAAATTTAGAGTTTAAATTAAATGTTTGTTTTGCTGTTGTGTTTTTAAATTAGTTAGTGCAGAATTTAAACAAAATGTTGTTTTGCTGCATTTAATTTAAATGTGTTTAGAAATTTAATATTCTTAATTTAGTTTTAATTTTAATTGTTTTGTTTACAATTAAAATTAAAGGTTCGTATTTGAGATTTAAATAAAATGATCATTTTGCTCCTTTTTATTTTAATTATTTTATTAGTTTGGTTTTTTAGTTATTTTTTATTTGTATTATTTAAAATTTAATTTAAGTGTTTGTGTTTTTGTTTTAATTTAATTATTTTATTTAAATTTTAAATGAAATATTCTTTTTTGTTTTTATATTTGCTTTGTAGAATGGAACAATTATTTTTTAATTTCAAATATATATATATAAATATATATATATATATATATATATATATATATATATATATATATATATATAAATATATAGTCTAGGAAAAAAGATGGTGTAGGAAAAAAAATTTTGGTAGCGGTACCCTTTCCCCCACCTCCCTGGTCGGGAGAAATTTAACAGAAATATTGATGAATATCGCCGGTTTTTTTTGCGAAAAAAGAAACAACATTTGCCGTAAAAAAACGTTTAAAAAAAAATTTCCTAAATTTTTAATTTGTAATTTAAATTTTTAATTCCAAATAAAGTTGATGCTGTCAAAAACGGTCTAGAATATATATATATATATATATATATATATATATATATATATATATATATATATATATATATATATATATATATCCCACCCTATTTTATATATATATATATATATATATATATATATTTATATATTTATATATTTATATATATATATATATATATATATATATATTTATATATATATATATATATATATATATATATATATATATATATATATATATATTTATATATATATATATATATATATATATATATATATATATATATATATATATATATATATATATATATATACAGGCCTTGTTTTAAATAAAAAAGTGCTTAATGCATTAGCTTAACGCAATTTTGACGTCATAAAATTATCTTAATTTTTTTTTATAGACGTTAAGTGTTTTAACTACCGCAATAAATAAATAACCGCAAACTAATTCAATTTAACAATTAACTCAAATATAAACTATAAACGTTTTAAATATAAATTTATTATGAAAATTTTGTAATGTTTTCAATTGTTATTTTATTATTAATTTTAGTTCAATATTATTTAGTAAAAAAAATATATATATATATTAATTATTTCTGAAATTTGTTTTTGAATAATTGTTTTTAATCGTTATTGAATAAAAAATAATAAAGATTTTTTTTATTTTTAAAAATTTCTAGAGTAAACAAAAAATATTAACATTGATAAACACAAACCCATGTTAATTATTTAAACAACGATTTTGTTTTGACTAGCAAAGAAAAATTTAAGTTTTTAAATATTTTTAACATTTTTAAAAGCGTTTCAACTTGCGTTTTATAAAAATATAAAAAAGTTTTGTCTGCTTTGAAGCGTATTTTTTATACGTAGTTTAGAACGCGTTCGCAAGGAATTTAATTCATAAACTTTTTATGTTATTGTAAAAATATTTAACTTTTTAAACAAATCACAAAGAAACAGAGCTATTGAGAAAAATCGTTTTCAACGATTAAATCTTTTTTTTTTTTTAATTTTAGGAAATTAAAAAAAAAATTAAATTAAAAATAAAAGTCTTAATTATGCAAACTCTTTTATTAATTATTCTTAAAACAAAAAAACAAATACTTGTACGCCAAACTTTAATCGTGCAAACTTATAAAAATACTCAACTGAAATAATTTAAGTATATTTAATAATTTGAATCGTATCTGTTTATAATAAACGTTCGTAAAAATTTGTTTATTAAAAATTAAGTTCCTTAACTTATAAACAAACTCAAAAGTATTTTCATTCTACGTATAATTACAAAACTCTTTTTTTTTTTCGTTTGTAAGCAATTTAACTTAATAAAGTAAAAAAAAGAATAAATATGAGGTAATTTTTGTTAAGAAAAAATTTAATTTATTTATTGAACTATATTTTTATTTTTAATTATATATCAACTTAATTAAAATATAGTAACATGTTAAAATATTTTAACATGACTTGCATTATTTATAAACCGTTGGGCAGTTGCCCTTACGGCACTATTGTTTTTGGATAATATTTTATTTTGATGAAGATCACATAACTTACATTTGATTTTAATAACGTAAGTCTTCTCTTTTTCTGTGATCATCGCATCGGCAAAGTCCCAAGATTTATAAGTTTTTAAAGTAAATCTTTTGTCCTTCAAAATACAATCCATATTCGAACTTTAAATAATTTAGATATAATAGAAATATACAAGGTTTTTATATACTAGTTTGTTTTGTTTTATAAAGAAAAATACATATTCATTAGTAAAAAATGGAGACTGTCATTAAACTAAAACGTGCCTTAGTATTTATTTAACGGAACCTGTAATGTGCGCGTGCATAATGAAACCTCCGTTATATAAATATATTCAACGTAATATTAGTGTCATCAGCGGATGTTGTAGTCTACTCATGATTTCTTTACCTTATATTATAACTTGATTTATGACAAAAAAAGCTTATTGAATCGCACGCAGAAGAATTTTAACAAATTGTCTTCATTCAAATATTGCGAGTAACAGGTAATTTTTTTTTCTGTGCCGACCCCCTCCCCCTGCATAACTTAAACTATATACTAATAAACTAATAAGAAAAGCTATATACTATTAAACTAACTATAAGCTATATACTATTAAACTAATAAGAAAAGCAAAGACATTTTTTTTAACATCTCGAAAAAATGTCTTGATATTTTTGTTATCATGATAACGAAAATATTAAGACATTTTTTGAGATTTTATTTGAAAAAATGTCAATTCTTAATTACAAATTTTTTTGCAAATGTTTTTTATTATAAATTCAGTAAAAAATTTATAAAAAATCTATATTACAAAAAACTTTTATATTCTGTATTAATAAATATGGAATATAGATTTTTTAAAAGTTTTTTACTAAAAACTTTACTACTTTTTATTAAAAACATTGCAAAAAATTTCTAGTTAAGGATTGACAAACAATTTTTCATGTTGCTAAATATTTAGATAAAAAGTTTAGAGTCAAATTAATTGCTATAAAAAGGAAAGATATATCGCGATGAAAAGTTACAACAATTAATTTTAAAGTAAATTCTTTTTTTAAATAAATACCTTTGCATATCGTTATTTAAAAGTTAATGTGGTTTTTTTGAAAATTAATTACTTCTTTTATGTTACCGCTAATTTAAAAGTTAAAAAATGATAAAAAGTAGCTTAACCAAAACAGCTCTACGCGTACGTAAAAAGCGCTTAAGGCGTACGTAAATCGCTCTAGGCGTAACGCTTTAAAACAAGGCCTGTATATATATATATATATATATATATATATATATATATATATATATATATATATTATATATATATATATATATATATATATATATAATAGGGTGGGTCATAATTTTTTATCATTTAATTTCAATTTTTTTAAATTTAGAGCTTAGTAATTATCTGCAACTTTTAGTTAAAAATGATGAAATAATGTGAAAACACATTTCAATTTTATAAAGGCATATTCTTTTAAGTGATCATTAAGTTTAGTTTATATTACCTTTGGTGGTATATGAAATGATATAGGATAAGTGATATTAGATGATGAAATGATATTAGAGAAATGATATTAGATAAGTAACCAAAAATTAAAAAATCATAATAACCATAAATTAAAAGCTAATAGTATATTGCAAAAATATACATATTCAACATGTTCTGTTTTATATTGTAGATAGTAAAAAGTGATAATTAATTCTTTCAACAAAGGGGTTTGTTTCAATCTGTTGTTTATTATCAATCTTTTCTACTTGTCATCTATTGTTGGTTGAATAAGTTGGTTTCCATTGTATTAAGTATTAGGAAATGGCATCTGTCAGCACAAAAGTGTGTAGTCAACCATATAACAAGCCTTCCAAGGAAAGGCATACGGTTTTTCGTCTCGTATGACCACGAAAACGTTTTTCAAGTTAGAGAACGTGATCACGGTCGTTTGCGCAAGTTATATTATATGCATTACTGAAAAATTGTTTTAAATTTAACAACTGCATAAGAAGTTAAAGTAAACTTAAATAGAAAACAATAATAATAGTTTAAATAATTTGTGTATTGTTTTTATTTTTGTTTTTTCTTAGTGGTTATTATTATCGGCAACAAAATTCATTAAGTCAAAGCAAAAAAAAAAAAAAA